GGAGGAGGGAGCGTTGTACGCGCAGGCGCTGGGTCAATGACCTGCCTCGCGGGCCTGCTTTTGGTTTGCCCGTGTAAGGGCGTGATCGGGGGAAAGTCTCCTGGTTTTTCCCTTTCCGTCTGCTCCCGCGCTTTGTGTTCGTGAAGGGTGGCCTGGGGCTTTTTGACCCTCCCCTCCGCCCGGCCCTGTTTTTCCCTGCTATGTAATGGTGGTCTCGTTAACGACAAAGCGAACGAAACGCGGACTTCGCTGTGGCCTGGTTAAGGCGGCCCCTCACGCGAAGCAGCAGGCGCTAACAGCTGTTTCCTCTGCGTCCCCAGATGAGGTGCCGCTTCCTGGGGCTGCAGGCTCTTCAGGAGGCCGGAGTGAGCAGCTGCGACGGGCGGCGAGCTAAAGGCAGCCATTAGCCAACATGCAGTTACCTAGATGAGCAATAGAGGGAAACAAGGGGGGTTAGTTTCGCGCCATATGATCGCAAATGAATTGCGTAGCAAAGCGCGGCGCACGGAGACACAGCGACCCGGGTCGCCGGCGTGTTAGAGGCCGGGCTCCCTTCACGCTGCCTCCCTGATCCGAGGGTTTTGCTGCAGTTTGTCGGTCCTTTGCGGGCTGTGGTTGTGATGTGCTTGAGAGCCTGAAATACCGTGTCCTCTCGCGTCTTGGAGCTTCTTTGCCAGAGTCCCTTTGCATCGATATTGCCCCAAAAGCACCCTGAAGTCCCTTTTCAGCCCTTACAGAAGTTAAAATAAGCTCCGTGACTGCCCAGGCAAAGCTGGTTAAACAGTGCTGTACAGCAGTTTCTGCTCTTCTGCTGTTCAGAAGCAGCTCTGGAAACGAGCTTTTTTCTCTCCTCGAGGTCCGATCTGGAAACGTATCTGAGGTAGGTAGCTATTTATTTTGTAATGGTTTTTCACTGCTTTGGATGAGGGTTACTCAGAACGTAGGAGGTTTTTTGTTTTTGTTTTTTTTTTCAGGAAGGGATTTGAGAAATATTTCAAATTTTCAGTTATTTAGGTATTTTTTCACAGAAATTCTTGAAAGAAGCACATTCCCACACATTACGTTGATTTTCGTGGAATCGTCGTTCTCTCCACCAGAAAAACTTGGCAAGCCGGTCAAATTTTTCCGCCAGTCAGTCTCATAAAGCCTCTGATCCCCACGGTATAAAACTCTCATAGCGCTTAGCCTGCCGCTATGAGAATAGTGCCTTGAACCCTACGTTATTTTAGACTTATTTTTGAAATGCCTCAGCATTTTCTCATCTAGCTGACCGGATAAAGATTTTTTTTTTTTTAAATAAAAGGCCTTCATATGCACCTTTTCTGTGTGTTGGTATTTCAGCTCACATTAATTTTTATCACCGGAGGAGGCTTTGGAGCGCAACCTGTACTCATTACTGAAACTCTCAGCCCTTTCCTACCGGTCCGCAAAGCTGCGTTCGCACCTCCAGCACTCAATTAATAACTGGTTCATGCTGCCCTCGGTCACGTAACTGCAAGGTCTGTACAAACTCGCCGACTCCAGAGCCGTCTGCTGGGCTCCAATTAACGCTGATGCTGTGCGCTCAGACTGTGTCCATGGTGAGCTTGGACGCCGTGCTGTGCCCATCGCCCTCTCCCAGCACGCGAACGAGGTCGTGATGGGAAAAGCCCCAAGGGCTCCTGCCTCGGCAGAGCTTCCTGCCGAGATGAAAGCGGCCATCGGCGCGCCAGGGGGAGCCCAGCGGAGGCAGCTGCGGTGCTATCGATGGATTAAGTAGCGGGTTTTTTACCTTGTAACACGGTTTTTTCTATGGCTGTGTCAAGGAGTGCTGTTACGAGAGCTGTTAGCAGGCTCATTTCCAGGATGCCTGTGTGCACCATTCCCCGTGTAATGTGAATGCATCATTGCTGGATGTACGGGTGACTTAAGAGCGCGGCCGGGTGCGTGGCGCTGCTGGAGGCGAGGTGGGTCCTGTCGCAAGCCGGGCTCAGGAAGGAAGTTGCTCTCTTTGCCTGTGTTGTCTGCCACTTCACCCCCCTCCCCCCCCCTGTTTAGTAGTATGAAATAAAACTTGGGCTTACTCTTTTCAAGGTAAAGCATTTAAGCTTTAAAGTTTCTCATCAGTTTGACTCTGCCCCATCAGGTTCAGTGTTAGGGAGCCATGTTAAAAGGAAGGGTAAGCAGGATGTCGGATGCTCCTGGCTGGTCTTAGTCTGATTTCATGACAGTCTCAGCCCTACTCTTGTAATTTTTTGGTGATTTAACCAGGGTCACACTTTTACAGGATGCTACTGTTGTTTCCCTGTAAGAGCTCTCTCTTTGAGTTGCCCAGGAAGAAGTTTAACTTTCACAAGAGCTGGGCCAGTAGCTCGTCCTTGGCTCCCTAATTAAAGGGAACAGACTAATCACTATATCGAAGGAAGTCCTTTGAAGAGCTTCTGCCATGACTGTTTTATATTGTCTCGACTGACAGCTGGGTCTGCTCTGTTAGATGATGCCTGTGTGTGTAGGAAGACACAGTTTCCAGCTCTGAAGGGCTTATTGTCCAAAAAGCAAGCACAAGAGATGGGTGAACAAGCACAACTTCTGTTACGCTTGCTTTATAGGCAGAAGCTGGAGCAGATTAAGTCTTGCCCCAAGTCTTGTAACGCGGCTAAGGCCCAACTGTCCCTGGGTCTCCTAAGGTTTAAAGCAGCCTCTGAACCGGAGAGCAGCTCTCTACCTCTTGTCCCTCTCAGGCAGGCGAATCCTCCTGTTGCACACAGGAGATGTCGCCTTTGGAGGCCCACTTGCTGCAGTCAGCTCTTTTTCTGCCATTCTGCAGTGTTCAGGGTTGTTATTTTCTCACGTATCTGATTACTCAGCCTTGAAGAAGCTGAGAGGATTGAGCAGTTTAAGGTGACTCATTTTTAGACTGCATCCTTCACTCCTACATCGCCGGTACCAGTGGCTTTGCAGTGCTTCCCTTTGAAGGCTGTGCTGCTGCTTTTACCAAGTGAGACGACAGCCATGGCCCCAGATCACAAGAGGGTGGATATGTGGCCTTTGCTAGTTGGAGAAGGGTTGCTAACTCCTGCAGATGGTTTTCTGTGGGGGTTTTTTTGTTTTTTTTTTTTTTTTCCTGTCAAAGCTGAGTTATTGCACGTTTCCCAAGTAAGCCCCTTCGCATTTATCTGTTGGCTTGCAGGTTGGGTAGAAGGGTTCAGGACTCAATGCTTAAAGTCTCAACTGCTTTTCTCGCCGTTTTTGTGGACGCTTACCATTCAGATCGCTGTTAAAAAACAGGCTGAGCTGTTGTTCCCTGAGGTTAATGGAGAACGGCAGCGTGAACCCTTGCGCCTCTGCACAAAATAAGTCTCTGTCTTTGTGTACGTATGTGTGTTTATGTACAGCCAGCAGTAACCTTGTAATGGAAGATTTCAAGACTAGACATGGAAATGATAAAAACATCTTTTTTTTTGCTCCCATTTAGAAGTAGCTTTTGTATGAGCATAATGGCAACAAAGCACATGCAGTGGCACAACTGAGCTTCTGCTCTTTATTGCATGGTTACTCACAGCACGAAGGAGAATTATAAAATATTTGTAATGGGGGCGGTGGAGAACTCTTGCTTGGTAGCATTTAGTGCAGACTGCCGTGACTGTGGCCATGTCACGTGAGGGAGGGCCAGTCCAAAGGAATGAATTGTGCTCTCGTGCTAATTCTACCTGAATGTGGTATTTTTTATAGGACTATTATAGATTTCCACTGACATAAATGAGAGGGGGCTCCAAGCTCACAATGCCCGTTTAAGCAATGTGCCGCGCAGATAAGTCACCAACAACTTCATGCTGCAACAGAGGGGGTGGAAACCGTCCCCTCCCATCTGCCAGCTCCCAGAAGATGTGAACTTGCTGTTTGCTTGGGCGTTGTGCAAAGTTTCACGGACGATCCTCATGCAGCGGTCGCGGACAGGCGGGGAGGGACGTGGAGCATGTTGCTGCTTGGAGATGGAGAGTGTGGGTGTTGTTGAGGGCCCCTGGGTGCCCTCTGTTCCTGCACCCAGGGAGATGCCTGGCAGCCCTGCAGGCAGGACGTATTCCTTGCATCTAACGCTCGAGATTTCTTCAGAGAAGCGGTTGCTATGCAGCCTTGTTTATGCCTGGTATGTGACACCGTTTGCTTGCTGTGCTTGTAACCTGTAAGCGTGAGGCTGCTGCCCTCCTGGAGGAGGGGGCCGGCTTGCCGAGCGGACATCCATGCTTGCATCTGTGGAGACCTAGGGTCTGGAGTAGAAGAAATCCTCGTTTCCTTGCGGGAGGCAACCTGCAGCCGGGATTTACAGCTCACAGGGGACTGTACAAGCTTAACGACATGGAGCTGGGTTCCTGAAGTGAAGGAGGTTGGTGAGCAGCCCTGCCTCGCGCTCTGCTGCTTTCTCAGCAAGGTGGTGCTCCGGCGGGGGGCGAGCGTGAACCGCGCCGACGATTGGTTTTTACCACGCTCTGCTGGAGGTTGCTTGGTACAAGCTCCTCTCCCAGAAGGCAATCAACTCTGGGAGAAAGGCTTGGGCTGATGATTTTGTTTCCCTTTAATTTTTCTCGTTTTAAAAAGGATTTAAAAAAAAAAAAAAACAAAAAACCCTAAAGCAGCAAAAGGGAAACTTCTGTGGGGGGC